TTTGCTAATCGTTTTTGGACAGCATAATTCTCTTATACTGAGCCCTTCTCAACTTCCTCGCACTGCTACTTCCCTGTCTTCCTCTTTCTGTCTCCTTCTACCTTCCGTCTCCCTTCCTGTCCACATCAGCCCTACTTCCATGTCTTTTTCTCCATGTTAGTAACTGTCTCTCCAACCAGCTTCCTACAGCCAGTATTTTTGATTTTCATTTCTTCATGCACACTGTCCTCCATAAAAAAACACACATAGATTACCCTCAGTCCTCCGTGCTGAACTTGGCATGTGGGAGTGAAAACACTGACACTTAGCTGTCAAATATGATACGCAATCTCACATGATAATAAACCTTCTCCAAATGACTCAGCAGTTAGTTTACTGAGCCTGGAAGTACATTTCCTGTACATATTAATTAACCCAAGTAAGTTTGAAGCAAAGATGGGATTTTAGCAGATAGACAAACTACTAAAAATTCAGTTTGCAGATTGTGAACTATGATCATAACAAACATGGGGTTAATGTGACACAAAAACGACCATGATACAAAAAACGACAGGACTCACAGAAGGTCAGTGGCTCTGCCATTAGCTCAAATGTAATCACTGTAAACCTACAATGTCTAGAAAAGACATGTTTTATTGTAATAAACCTCACTATTACGTCTCGTACGGTAAACAAAGTCAATGAGAGATTTACTGCGAATAAAATCTAATTTATTTGGCCACATGCAACAAGGTTGCCTGAATGGCCCTTAAAGGCTTCATGGCAAGAGGACATCCTTTATTGCAATTTTGATGCTCAGAGCAACTCCTCTGGCCATCCATCCATTCACTCCATTATTCTTGAATTAAAGCGTTTTGTGACCAGTGGTGCAAAGTGGTCTGTCCGTGACTCTCTTTACAAAACAGTGCAAAGAATTCATACTAAAACTACAAAAACACTAAGGGGTGGCTGTGGCCGAGGGGTAGAGCAGTTCGATCCCAGTATTTCCCATCTTCATGCCGAAGTGTTCTTGGACAACATACTGAACCCAGAATGGAAAGTGCTGTCCATAGATGCATTATATGAATGTGTGTGTGTGAATGGGTGAATGGCAATTAATTGTACTTTGAGTGATCATCAATAGTAGAGAGGTGCTATATAAATACAAACCATTTACCATTTAAATGTCTACAACTGTTGTTATGGACCAGTTGTGCACAAGCACAAATAACATTGCTTCTTTAATATTCATGATAAAGAGAATCCATAATCTGGCCTTCTTTCACATCACGTCTGCATCCTAGCTTTCCCATCTTCAAAATGTTGTTTATGAATTTGGCAGAGTTTGTGTACAGGTGAGTAAATCCTCCCGTCAAGTTTGTTTTTGTAGATCCGTAGGTACACAATGGTTATAAATGAGAACCCTGGTCTCCATAGCAATGACAGTTGAAAATTACGGGTTGTGTAGCCTTCCATGATCAAAAACAGAACAATAAAAAAACCCTTTATCTCTCAGAATCGAAGGAAACATACTTAATAGGATAGCTATAATATTAACCTATCGCACTGTTGATTTATCAAGGCCAATTTTTGTTGCATGTTATACTCTCGCTCTGGATCAGGAAGTAAAAGGAACTTTATCTTTTGGCTCTGAGAGCACGTGAAGTTGGTCGGCAGCTTCTCACAGACTGTGTGGCGCAAATCAAGACAGAAGGCGGTGATCCGATAATTCTGATATAACTAATCAGGCTTTAGACAAAGTTGGACCATACATAATTAACTTGCAGCTGCATGAATAAATAAATAAATACAAGTTGGAATGTAGAAATAACTTAATGAGGGAAAAATGAATGTAGAAATAAATAAGTGGACAAATACATAACAATTTTGAAATAAAACTGAATGAATACATGCAGATATACTGTATGTGTAAATGCTGTATTTGATTATTTAATCATCTATGTGTACTTATGTACTTAGAAATTTACACAACCTACTGTTGTTCATAAAACTCTTCTTCGTCCTGTCCCATGTAAAGTAACGTCATTGTATTTTAGAGGTTTTCTCTTTGGTCTTTATCCTGCTGAAGGTGTTGCACATGATATTTTATAAATGTAGTTATGTAGTTATAGTATATGATTTTCACAAATCACAATTTTTTCTCATCGGGCCTAAAGATGACATCATGAATTTTTCTCATGTAAGTGCCCACAGAAATCTCTGCTAAGCCAGTGTTCCTCAATGAAACAGTTTTCAATCATTACTGTTAATCCTCCTTCCTGTCAGTTTCCTCCCCCTCTCCTTAAGCTCTTGTTTCTTCTCATCCCGAACTCCCTTGATCCCACCAACTGCCACCATCCTCCTTCCTTCCCTCCCCTCTTCTCCTTCCATCAACTTCTAAACTTCCTAACTATTCCTAATTTAGTTTCTCTAATCCATCATCCAACTCTGCACCCATCCTCTTTCCCATGACTGAGGTTAATACAACGGGTTTTGAAGCACGCACACAGACACAGGGAGAGAGGGAGATACGTATGTGACACCCAAAATTTGAGTACACAAACTCGAACAATCACAAAGGAACAAGCAAACATGTTGTGTGTGTGTGTGTGTGTGTGTGTGTGTGTGGACTAGTCATGCGCAACTCCACTATCTCAATTTCTGCCTCCTCTCTCTCAATCTCCTTTTCTGTTATTTTACCTTCTCTCCTTCCCTTTCTTCCCTTTCTTTCCTCTCAGGGTCTTAGTATCTCCCTTATGTTCCTCTTTCAGGGAAGAAACCTTCAACAACAATATTTAATGTTGTCTCCAGAAACCCACCCTTGGCTACAATTACCGATTTCAGCCAGCCTTCCTTTCATTTTCAGGGTCACTGCTCCATTTAAACTCCATTTTCAAAGAACAGGAAGACACAGAATCCAGACCGTTCTACCTCCGCATGTTTACAAGGCCTCAGCAAAGGCTGGATGAGCTGCAAGCATTTTGTTCATTTTGAAAATAAATGTGAATTTCTGTTTATCCGATACCACATACTGTATCTTGAGTGGTCTGGAGCCAATCCCAGCTGAAATTGGGCGAGAGGCAAGGGGAAATATTGTTCTAAAAGTAAATAAGTTCAATACATTTCTGAAGAAGACCCAAACTCTTGCCAATGCACCAACTCTGTTCAGGTCCGTGAGGAACATTTACCCCTTTGGATAAATCACAATAAAGTTTAAATTAACTGTTTAAAAGTCTACTTACTTTACATGACTTTATCCTTTACATGTTATTAAACAATGCTAATTTGTAAAGCTGAATTAATTTTGACAGGAAACAATTATCTGCTTCATCGTGTTCCTGCAGCATTTTTTGAGAGCGATAAAAAAATAATAAAGTAAATGTGTCATTGAATTTAAATTTTCAATATTGATTTTCGGTATCTAACTAAGACTATGATAGTTCACGCACCTTAATCTAGAGCTGTACACATCATGACAATGCTAACATTGTGATGTTTCAGGATAAGTTTAACACCTGTCGAATAGCCACCCAACGTACACTTTATTTTCTCCATATGTAGAACCCTCATAACTTCATAACCAACAGGACATGGGTGGGAGAGGCCTCCTGCTTTCACGTCGCCTAGCAATTAAGGAAGCCAAAGCAATGTGCCACAGCCCTTTAGTGTTTCCCCCTGTCCGACAGGTGTGTGCCATCTCCCTCTGATGACTCTGCAGAGGTGCGGCCACGGACAGCTCACAACCTTACCGGCAGTTCATCCATCAATCACCTGCAGCATATCTACCCTGGTTGTGCTGCCAGTCACCGCCAGTCCGTCCTCGTCACCACAGTGATAGTTATTTGTCCTCGGCCACTCCAGTTCCTCATCTCATCCTCGTGCCACCATTGTGGATCGGACAATTAACTCGTTAATTAACGTTGCAGCAATGAGCAATTTTCAGAAAGCTGAACGAAGTCGCTTCCATTAGGTTAATAATCTGTAAAGACTGTGTAAGAACCAATCACATACTTAATTTCAGACAGTGTATTTAATATTTAATTTATTGTGCTCTCCAAATTTCCTCATGTATCTCCCTTTCTTCAGATGTGGAGGAAACTGTGTGTGTGTGTGTGTGTGTGTGTGTGTGTGTGTGTGTGTGTGTGTGTTTGAGAGATATAGCACAAGATATTGACAATAGACCACACCCTGGGCGGCTGTGGCTAACAGGTAGAGAGGCCATCCTCCAACCAGACAGTCACCAGTTTGATCCCAGTCTTCCCCATCTGCATGCCGAAGTGTCTTTGGGCAAGATGCTAAACCCTGAATTGCCCCTCATATAAAATATATTGCTGCCAATGGATGTACTGTGCAAATGTGTGTGTGTGAATGGGTGAATGGCAAAACTCTATTGCAAAATGCTTTGAGTGGTCATCAAGACACAATAAGTGCTGTGTATATACAAACCATTTACAATTTACCCACTTACAGCAATTAATATGGAACTTGAGATTCAGATTTTGGTTTAAACTCTCCTCTAGAGCATTTCAACAGGGCTTTGAAGTACATGTTTGACATGGCTGGGCTCAAAATGCTTTGGTGGGTTTATTTCCAACCGAGGCCCAAAGATATCCACCAAGATTTGTTATGATTGGGAAATGTATAGCCAAGTTACAGCCAAGATTCATTTTGGTGGATGGTGGCCGTGTGTTTCTGCCGATCATGCTCATTCATCAGTGTTATACTCTGATAAATATCAGTGGTATTTATTTTGTTATTTTCATGGGAATAAGTTAAGGGTAAAATGCCAGTTCATGGTGAGGTTAACATTTACATAGATAACTATTTGAGATGTAAATAAGGTATTAAAATGTATAAATCATTTATGTTTAAATGAGCGACTTTAAAAACACAATTTCATGGCGTGTGAATGCTTTTGGAAAAGTTAAAAGCAATTCTATTAAGTTATATTACGTGCGTGAGTTCATGACCTTTGAATGCTTACACTTCCGGGGGGAAGCGACTCGGAAGAAGAAGAAGAAGAAGAAGAAGAAGGTGCAACGTGCTAATGGCGCAGAGCAGAGACTCCGGGACTGCGTGTGTCGTTCGTGTGGAGTTTTCATTGGTAACGGACTGTGAGCTGTAGTTGAACGACGTGTTTAAAGTGTGGGGGTCGGACTCGCCACCACCGCTTGTGTTTTGTAAACGAGAGGACCGATCGGCTACGTTAGCTAGCGGGAGCTAGGCTAACGCCACGGTCCTCGTTGAAGGGAGACACCACGTGCACGGACGGAGGACGCTTCGCTGCTGTCGAGGGAGACGGAGGTCTGTCACTGCGGGCTGCTGCGGGTGGAGACGGAGGCTACCGCGACGAGCGAGTGATTCATCAGCGGCCTGGTTTTGCGGACTTCACCGACACACGGAGGTACTTGCATCAAGGGTTTCCTTCATGAGCTCCAACTAAAGCGCGCCAACGCCATTAAACAAAGAGTGCACTCAAAATAAGATTAGACAGTTTGAGTAAAGACAAAATCTACACCCCGGGGTTCTAGTTTGTTATTATCTATATTCTGGTTCCATAAAGAAAGGTTTGACTTTGTGTTTCCCTGCAACGTGTTAATACGTTTCTAAAGAAACCGAGATCTTGTGTTGGGTGTATTGACTTGTGTTATCATTGAAGTATTACATGAGAGTTTACAGGTCAAGTGTATTCCCCATAGTCTCCAATTGGTTATTTGAAAGTGAGAATCATACATTACCCTAGACTGATATTTACTATTTGAAATGTGTCTTTTACCATAGAATGTGTATCAAAGGGTCAAAGCTTCATCTTTAAGCAGTAGGTGGGTTTTAATCAAGCGGCAACACCCCGGGCTGAGCGCTGAGGCCAATGCGGAAGTGCAAAAAGCTGCAGTTCACTGGGTGGCCACTTGAGGCTGGCTCCAAGAAGGAGTCAATTCCCATTGACTCCGATTATAATAAGCCCGACTTTAGAGCAGAATGAAACCTGTTTACAGCCTGGTTCAAAAAAACGGTTCTTCCTTCATGACAACTCTGGGGGGGGATTTTTTTCTAACTCGTTTAAATTATATAGAAGTTTGAAATTATGCATAATTAGGGGCGTGGTCTCTTGAGTGACACCTGGGCACTGTCCGTGGATGATGTGACATTTGTCGCTAGCAGACTGGAAGCCATCTGCAAGCTGCGGGGATCACTCAACGGTTCAAATCCAAATCGACCTCCTCTTTATATACAGTATATGTTCGCGTCATTACATTCGACTTCTTCATGGGTTAAGTGTCTTTTTGGAAAATGTTTCCATGCTAATTTGGGCGACTTGGTTAACAATATGGCTTCCTGTGCAGTTAATTGTACTAACAGACCGTGTAAGAACTCTTGTTTTCCAGTTCTCTCGGTAAGTGAAAATATATTTTTATTTCATTTATATATAAGAACCTTAGCACTTATTAGCAGGTATGGTTTCTCACCATGCATGGCTTTTAGCTTATGTCGGGATCAAGCTAATTAGCTTCTGTTAGCCGTGGAGCCACACAGCCCGATGTGGTTCAGATGCTGAATAACGAGTGTCACTGCTTGTCACAGTAAACCGGTACACATTCTAAACATAGTCTAGAAGTGTTTCGATGTAGAATTGGGGATTATAAATTACACAATGTGAAATTTAAAGTTGTGGGCAATGATGGTGTGTCATATATAATTATTAATGTCATATCARYGTCACAGGAGTAACAACTTAAATGTTGCCCTATATTAACTGTTTAACTCGAGTTTTTCATTGATGCTAACCCTATTTGTTAATGTCAATGCTATTTACATCTGGCAAGGGTAGATGATAACAACAATAATTATGTGTACTATTTAATTATAATATAATAAATGTAATATTTATTTCATTTGATGTGTCATTATGTGTGGTTTCATTGAATACTATGTTTTTCTGTTGCATTGAATTGTCCACTTTCACACTGACTAACTTATTAAACATATGTCACTTGTGTGTTACAAATGTGAATATGGCATGAAATAGTATCCATTTGAATATGAAATCAGTTCAAATATAAGTGTAAGAAATAATCCCAAAATAACACAAAAAGAGGCAATGCAACAGATGGATTATGTGAACTGTGATATCTACAAAGACCAAAGTTAGTAACTATTATTTTATTGATTGCATATAAATAAGTCTGTGAAGAAGGTAACCTGACAGATAAATTATTTTATACATTTTTTGTCTGTCTAGTTTTCCTCTAGATGATCCTGAGAGGCTCGACCTGTGGATGCTCAATATGAAGAGACAGAACTGGATTCCGCAGAAGAATTCTCGTCTCTGCAGTGAACATTTTCAGAGAGATCATCTGAGCATTGACACAAGGGTACACATAAATGTTTTAATAACTTCTGAGACAACAAGCCACTTGATTAAATTGATTAATTGTTGAAAATGATATGGGTTAATGATTTATTGCATTACATTACATGGCGCACTACTAAACACTTGATTAAGGCACAGCTTGCTCTGAGCCATCACTGTTAAGGCGAGTTCACTGACACACCAGTGAAGTTGAATGTCCCCCTGATGCAAATTTCTATATGAAGACTTTACCAATAAAGCAACATGATAATGTTTTTCTTTGCTAATTTCCAAATTTCATAGCATTTAATGCAAAGATCCTGTACCTGATAATCTTTTTTTCACCCACATATCATACTCTTTGTGACATTTAGTTTCTCCAAGTGAGACAGCCAAACACTGTGCAAGCCCAAGTAATCTTTGGAAGTAATTATTAATATTTACATAGCAACTACAATTTTAGCATGAACTGTGTATAGAGTTTTTTTTATCTACAGCACTTGAACACACAAGCCTTTTGTATCAATGACACTCAGTTACTGTGCAATAACAATCATTTCTTGTAATTTTTTTAGGGAAGGGCATGCGTGAACGACACTGCTGTGCCTACCATTTTCTTACACTCCAAGGGCAAAGAGGACAACCCAGAGGGAGAGGTATGTGAAATGGTAGGTATGAATGAGGAGGTAAGTGACATTCCTATTTCTGTTGGAAATAGCACTAAGGAGGTTGCAGATGTAGACAATGGCAGTAGTGGCAAAAATCTTACTGCCGATCAGGACAATGTTGCTATGATGGCAGACATACCTGAACAGGCTTCTTTTTTTTTTTTTTACACAAGATGACAACGACAGTGCTCTTA